TTAGGTTTGTAGTCAACCTAAACTATTCCAGTGGTATTGATTTGTGATGTAGTATTTCATGAAGTATTATATTCTTACAGTTCTGTATAGCAGTGGTTGTATTAGTAAACCCTCTCTGGCCCGGATCTCAGGAGCACGACCTGGAGGAACCTGAGAGATGCTCCTTTGGTTCCCGCTCAGCCCCGTGCCCAGTGCAGACCGCAGGCTCTTGAGAAAGGCCCGTCCGGCTGCAGATAGGAACCCACTTGCCTTGAGATCCCTGAGGCAGGCTGATGTCTTCAAAAGTAATTCGACCAAAAGCTGCAAGGAGACCACAGCACACAGAGAAGAGCCCTGTCTTCCCGACTCCAAGGAGCCAGCTGGGCCGTCTTTACAGGGGTCACATGCCCCGCCCAGGCCTTGCCCCTGCTCTGTGCCCACCAGGCTCCTGCTCGTTCGTTGGCCATCTGGCCTGCGTGTTACCAAGTGACTCTGACTCTCACTTTATCCCCTGACTCCTGGAGACTCTGTCTTATGACCACACCCAAATCACAGATAAGTCCCTGTAAAATCCTTCTTTTTTTCCTTAAATTTATTTATTTTTATTATTTATTTATTTTTTAAATTTTTGGCTGCATTGGGTCTTCGTTGCTGCACACGGGCTTTCTCTAGTTGTAGTGAGCGGGGGCTACTCTTCTTTGCGGTGCACGGGCTTCTCATTGCCGTGGCTTCTCTTGTTGCAGAGCACAGGCTCTAGGCCTGTGGGCTTCAGTAGTTGTGGCTCATGGGCTCAGTAGTTGTGGCTCGCAGGCTCTAGAGCACAGGCTCAGTAGTTGTGGCACATGGGCTTAGTTGCTCCGCGACACGTGGGATCTTCCCAAACCAGGGTTCGAACTCATGTCCCCTGCATTGGCAGGCGGATTCTTAACCACTGCGCCACCAGAGGAGTCCTGTAAAATCCTTCTTTTTCTTCTTCCAACCTTCCTAGCACCCTGAACTCTTCCTGGGCGGCTGCTACTTAGTGCCTATTGGCAGGACACTCCCCAGTACTTTGCCAGCCTTTCCTCCTGGCTGGCCACCCCTCCGGGCGCCTCCCTACAGCTGATGGGAGACCCCTGGGGCTCACACAAGCCAGGTGCTGTGTGCAGGCGATGGCACGTCCTGGACCAGTGCCCCTGGGGCAGGGGAGGCCCGGGGACTGCGGTGCTCTCCTCGCAGGTCACCTTGCGCAGGCCGTGTCCTCACCCTCCTAGCAGGGTTCGGAAGTGCCGAGAGCTAGTGAGGGGCTGCTTTACAAGGTCTGTGTCGCTGTCAGAGATTTTCTTTCTGACCAGTACAGGTCTTATAATCTGTAAGATGTGAAGGTTATGGACAAATGAATTGTGATTCTTTTATTTGAATTTCTCTGACTCGCCTGCAGGCTTTCTTCGCTGACTGACTCCTGGAGATCGTGCGTTTATTAATAGGCAGGTCGCAGGGTTGGACACAAGCAGCTTCACCACATGGAGTTGGTCCGTCCTGTCTGCTGCTTTCCTGGTAGAATTAAGTCAGGTGCAGACTTCCCAGTAGAACTTGAAGCCTATCTGAGTGGTCTTAGGTCTGATTGTTAATGAGGACGAACGAGGCCCGGCTGGTGATGTACAAAGGTATAATTCCTCTGTCCTTGTTCTACCTGGTGATAGTCTGGGCCTGAGTGACTCCTTGCTGACTAAAGGGCTTCACCAGCCTGCCTCGGAGGCGTGCAGAAGGGCTGCCGCTCACCCACCCACGTTTTCGTGTCCTACCTGCCGTAAAAGTAGCCGCCACCCACGCCCAGCGTCCTGCCTTGAGGGACAGTGGCGCCTGCACCCCTGCGCCAGGTGTTTGGTTCCTTTACTGTGATTGGATATTTTCTTTACTGGCTCTCCAAATTCTAGCCTCTTCAAGAAATGAAATTTTCTTACCTCTAAATCTAGGCCCTGTTTTCACCGTTGCTAAGGGGCCTCTCATTTGTTGGTGGTTCTTACTTTTCGCCGAAACCCTGGGATCCCTTCCTGGTTCATGGGCTGCTTCTGTGCTGGCTTCTTCCTGGGGGTATCTCAGCGTTAGCTTGAGCCGTGGCACATTTCCCCGTGCCAGCTCCTGTCGTTTCAGTGCGGTATTGTTCCACGTCCCTGGGTGTCTGCCTGCCTACGTGCACACCCCTGGATGTCTTGGATTTCCTGGTTTTCGTCGCCAGATTTCACTCTTTTTGCCACACTTATGGTTTGCATTTCATGCCTGTGCGTTCTTTTAATCAAATGAAATAAAAATCTTGTGAATAAAAATATTCTGTGTAAAAAAAATTAGACACAGCTGAACATTTTTGACACACCTGGTATATAGAGAGAGCTGCTCTGGGAACAGCTAGCAAGCAGCCCTCCCCGCAGTGGTACGTTCTTAGCGCGTGTCCTTACAGGGGGCTCTTCAGAATTCCAGGCTTGGAAGGTCTCTATTCTAGTCCTGTGCTTTCAGGCAGGATTGCAACAAAACTGTCCAAGGTAGGATGGACCACCATTTGTTTTAAGTTGCAATCTTACTATACAATTGTAACTTATGAAATTTCTAAGGTAAGTAAAAGGTCCAGAGTCTAGTGGCAAATGCCCTTGTGTTTGCCATAGATTTAACATGTTCAGTCTTTGTTCAGATCCTTTTTCTTTTTAAGAAGGTAGATGTCATCAAGTCATGGACCTTCCCTCTCTCTGCTCCTGCCTTCCCCAGAGGTGATTTTTCTCCCGAAATTGGGGTGGGTCCTTTCTGTTCATGTTTTTATGGCCTTGGTGCATATGGTGGGACCCGCGAACATTATAAAGTTTTGTGTATTTTTAAAACATTCATAAATATGGTTGTGTTAAGTGTATTTGTACCTCGGTTTGCTATTGCCCCAATTTTAACTATACTGTTGCTGGGCGGCTTGGATGCTTTCATGATCAGTGCCGCACGGGCGGCATCCTGGTACGTGCTGCTGGGCGCACGTCGGGGCTTCTCCTGTGGGCCGATGGCTGGAAGAGGCGCGGCCGGGAGCACTCTGGCTGGTCTTAATTTCACTGCGTGCCGCCAAGTCCTCTCTAAGTGGCTCCACTGTTACACTTCTCCTTGCAGTTCATTAAAATACTTGTTCCCCACATCCTCACTAATGTTTGCTGTTGTCAAGCTCTTCTGTTTTGTTTCACAGTTCTCTAATATCCTAAATATTCTGAACTTGTGTTTAGAATAACTTTGTGGTTATCCACGAAGATGATGGTGTGTGGTAGAGGCATCAAAGGAAAGAGGGCTTTTATTCAGGCCCTTGCTGGTTGGAAGCAGGAAAGGGATGAGCAGTCTGGAGCCCCACACGGGACCCCGATGGACTGTCCACAGAACAATGTCTTCCCCCCCGTGGGAGATGGTGGTATCACGAGGGTGTCCAGGGAACAGGCTTCAGACGTGGGGAGTTTGTGTATGTGGAATTTGGGTTTTGGAGAAAGAATCACGGGGGAAAGTTGGGTCAGAGAGTAACACGTAGACGTCTAAGGTGACGGGAGTGTGTGGGGAGACGCGAGGGGGACAGGCGTGTGCAGCACGACTCTGGATGCGGGCTGCCGGGGAATGCCGGTCGCGGTCTGGATGGCTCCATGGGCTCCGCAGAAGGCTTGTCCCAGGGGTGCTGAGGCCAGAGGGCAGCGGACCCTGCACAGGGCAGAGCAGTCCCCGGGCGGAGCGCCTCAGCCGGTGTCCTGCAGGCCCTCCTCCTGGACCACCTGCCCGCGTCCTGCACAACGGGGCTGCTTAAAAATGGGTCAACGAGAAAAACGAATTTCGACAAATCATACACATATGTGTTTACATTACGTTTTACATGAATTCATAGAAATGTATGTTCATTCAACAGTCTGTTAATGTAGAGCTCTGGCCCTTTTTTGTATGTTTTGTAAGTATGTTTTGAAAACTTACGTTTTCCTCATACAAAGAGGTATTCGTAGTGCATGGTTTATAATTTCCACTTTGGATTTCCTTACGGCGGAGGGAAAGTGATTTTACAGATCTGTCTGGTGAGAATTTTCCCGAAGATTTAAGTTCCATGTTTTTTGTCTCACCCACACCTTATTAAAAATATTTTTTTAAAACAATTCATCACTATCCAGTCTTTCAAAACCATTCCATTTCACTGAAGTGGAAAAACATCTCTTGATTTCTGTTAATAATCCCATTTCATCAAATTACATAACATCAGTGTGTACACCTGGCACGGGTGGGCCACAGCGGCTCTTGGTCGGTGGAAGGAGACGGTCAGTGTTGTGTCGGAGGGCAGCTTACAGGTACTGGTGCCGTGGACATCCGTCACCCCAGCAGAACGGTGCATGCCGGGCGGGTGCGGGACGGTCCACCGTAGGCGTAATTTGGGCCGTGGCTCAGCCGGCTCGGGGGTCGTGGCTCTGACCCTGAAGTCCAGGCTCCGCGAGGCGGGCTGGCCCCGCCCCCCACTCTCAGCCTTTCTGGTCCTCTGGTCTCAGGGCCTGGCCCAGGGGCTCGCGCGCTCAGAGGGCCTTCTGCCTGCCCGGTCCTCCCCGCGGAGCCTGTTCCTCTCCCGCAGGGCGCTCATCACACTGGGGACGCTTCTTTGCTTTTGTAAAATGACGGGCCAGATATCCAGACCCGTTTCAGATGTTGATTCCCAGGAAGGCCGGCGACTTCCTTCCACATGGCGCTCTCCCCTTTGAGCCTGGATGGGGAGCTGCGCTGCGTCCACCTTTCCCAGGTCCGGCCGCCGTCGCAAACCGGGCTGGAGGGCCGAGTAGGGGCACCTGCTTCACCGGCATCTGCCGACACGCTCTGGGCGTGGGAAAAGACGCCTGTTGACTCAAATGTCAACATGTTCATTTATCTTAAAGTCTGAAATCCAATATGATCTGTTTATTCCATGTTAATTAAAGACAGTGCATTTAAGTAAATAAATTTATATGGAAAACCTGGACGTGAGGTGTTGGATCACACTAATGACTGCGATGGGTTTTCTTTGGCAGTTTGCGTGTGAACCTGGACATGGGCAAAGCCGCCTACGGGTGGATGATTATGAAAGATGAGAATATTCCCGGCACAGTGGTCCGGACCAGCACCATCCCGGAGGAGCTGGGGCGCCTGGTGTACCTGCTGACCGACAAGACAGGTACTGCTGTGCGCGCGTTCACCTCTGGAGGCATCTAGTGGCGGGGGGATCCTGGCGTGTCTGTGCCCACACACGTTTATGGTGTGTGTGTTTGTGTGTGTGTGTGTGTGTGTGTGCGTGCACCTGCACGAGTTTGAGAAGCAGAGTATTGAATTCATGGTTAGAATTCCCCAGACTCGGGACTTCTCTAGTGGCACAGTGGATAGGAATCTGCCTGCCAATGCAAGGCACACGGGTTCGAGCCCTGGTCCGGGAAGATCCCACATGCCGCGGAGCAACTAAGCCCATGCGCCACAATTACTGAGCCTGCACTCTACAGCCTGCGAGCCACAACTACTGAGCCCGCGTGCCACAACTACTGAAGTCCGCGGGCCTAGAGCCCACGAGCCACAACTACTGAGCCTGCGTGCCACAACTGCTGAAGCTTGCACACCTAGAGCCCGTGCTCTGCAACAAGAGAAGCCACCGCAATGAGAAGCCCTCACACCACAACGAAGAGTAGCCCCTGCCTGCCGCAACTAGAGAAAGCCTGTGCGCAGCAACGAAGACCCAAAAATAAATTAATTAAATTAAATAAAAGAAACTCCCCAGACTCAGCCTTTGAAACTGGCCTCCAGCTAATCTTCATCTTCTAACGTAAGAGCATCATCAGAATTAGCAAAATGTGACATTCTTACAGATTTAAAAGACGTATTTCTGTATTTTGAACTTTCTACAGCCTTACAGTTGTGTTTTTGTTTTAAGTACCTGTATTAACACCTCTCTATTGGCTTCTTAAGAGCAAAAAGGGCTTGTTTATTATAGAATGATAATTATGAGCTATTAGAAGAAAATAACAATAAGATATGTGAATTTGGTATTTTAACAGTGACATTCTCCTAAAGAGCTGCACCACAAATGAGTTATCCCACCCTAAGTTTGCATGCTCCAAATTCTCTTTGTCCTTATTTCATTTTTTTCTTTCTTTCATCAGAGAATTCTTGTCAATCCATAACATACTAAGTAAAAGACAAATTGAATCCAGAACTATAACAAGAGCCATATCTAAGGGTTAAAATCCCTTTTTGATTTGTTGATTCATGGTGTAAATTCCTAGTAATTCTTAGTGAACCAGAAGTAAAAGAATATTTATATAAACGGTAAAGAAAATATGTCTTGAATAAAATTAAAAACTTTATTTTTAATAAAATATTAGAAGAGTCCTCACTATAGTCAGGAAGAAGAAAGACTAATCTGTACCATGCTTTGATTTAACATTTATTACTCCAGCCACTGCTGTGAGACAGGAAATAGAAGGTCCACAACCAAAAGAAGAAACATATTTACAGATATAATGATCAACCAAGGAAATGAACTGCTAAAAATAAGAAATCAGTAAAGTGACAGCTTACAAATTAAAATAACAATAGCAGTAAAAATAGCTCCCTTATGTGTAGAATAGACTGAAGAAGAAAGGTCCCATTCACGATAGCTCAAGTACATGTAAAACATGTGGGCATAAACTTGGGGATGAAGAAAGTGACCAGACCTGACCGAGAAACGTAAAAGACTGGCATTAGTGGAGAGGTGTACCGTGTCCCGAATGTGAAAATTCAGTATTCTATAGCAGCCAGCCTTCATAAGGAATTTGTAAGTTTACTGCAGTTCAGTCAAAATCCAGTTGTTGGATCGTATTTGGTTTTCATTAGGACTTGTCTTGGTGGGACATTGAGGAATTGACCCGTAAGGTAATGCTCCATAAATCAGAATAACTCAGAAATAACAACTTGAGGGCCTCAGGGTCAAGAAGGTAGACAGAGGGCTTCCCTGGTGGCACAGTGGTTGAGAGTCCGCCTGCCGATGCAGGGGACACGGGTTCGTGCCCCGGTCCGGGAAGATCCCACATGCCGCGGAGCGGCTGGGCCCGTGAGCCATGGCCGCTGGGCCTGCGCGTCCGGAGCCTGTGCTCCACAACGGGAGAGGCCACAACAGTGAGAGGCCCGCATACCGCAAAAAAAAAAAACAAAAAAGAAGGTAGACAGAGAAAATGCCTTCCCAACTCACTGCACGAATGGGAGAAACTTTAAAGGATAAATCTTTAACGATACTAGAAATCAAGCAAAAGTGCCATTAGATGATCCAGAAATTGGAATTCGTTTGATGGAGAAGCAGGAACACAGCAAACCCAAACTCAAAATGGCTCATGAAGAGATCCTACAGAAATGTACGAAAATGTCTCCAAAACAGAGTCCTGGGGAGATACTAAATTCATAGCCAACTTGGATCTGCAGCGAGATACAGGGAGTCATGAGGCTGCCCATCATCAAGAGAGGACCGCCCTGAGCCCCTGGCTACAGCACCAGGCAGCCTGGCCTCTATTGATACATACAATCAGAAACCAGGAGCCACCAAGATGAGATCAAAGTCCAATTCAACCAGGCGAACTGTTCCCAAAGAAAACAAATTCAATGGTTTTTTTACACAGACACCAAGAAGAACCATCAGGAAAATGTCTAGAATTGTAAGAGTTCAATTACATACATCAACTCAGTATTCAAAGTTAAACTGCATTTCTCTGTACCAGCAAAAATTGGGACACTTAATTCTAGAAATGCCAATTAGAATAGCAACAAAAAAGTATAAAGTAATTAGAAATAAATTTTAACAAGAAATGGGTAAGAACCATGCGGATGTATGTTTTTAAATTTTAAAAGACCTTTTACAGAGACCTAATTCAATGGGTGGACACCCTGTTCTCGTGAGTAGGACACCTTAATGCAATGAACGTGTCATTCCTCCTGCATTAAAAATCTGACGTGTCTGCAAGTACAGGACGAATGGGGAAGTCCTACTCACTGTTGGTGGGAGCGGCACGTGGCACCCTGCCTTGTAAAGCGGGTCTTGCGCATTTCAGCCCAGCGTCTGTTCCTTAAAGAAGCATCTGCACCAGGAGATGTACCAGGATGTTCACAGCGATGTTCTGGCCACAAGAACAAACGGTCCGGATGTGACACAGAGAAAGTCACCACCAGGACAACGGCACACTGTGGCATGTCCTTACAAGAACACACAGCAGTGACACGGAGTGCAGGCGTTTACCTCCGCATGGACGGGCGCCGCGGGGAAACACTGAGCAGGGAAAGGGTTGGGGGCAGGGATGCCAGATGCAGCCCTGGGCTCATCCTCGGGCCTGGCCCCCACCAGCTGCCTTTCCTGCCACCTTCCAGAGGCCTTCTGCGGGCACCTCCTGCACCATTCCTGAGCTTGTGGTCGTGCTTATCCGGGGGAAGCAGGTCTGGTCTGGACCAGAAGTCCTCTTGTGGACATTTTAAATCTGCCTGTAATGGTCCTAGAGTGATATTGACCTATTATTTCATCTTAATTTACAAACAGAAAGCACACGCCTGAGAACACACAGTAAACTCAAGGCTCTGTGTCTCTGGCTGTTTGATATCAGTAAGTAAAGGTTTTGTGACATTATTTGTCCTTAAAAGGCTAGCTTTTATTTTGCATTTTAAACAATAATGGGTTTATTGTTCTGTAGCTCCTCCATTTTTCTTTGTTGAATTGGAGTTACTTTCAGGGTAAGGATAAGTGGTTTTTGCCCAGAGTCATAAAGACAAAGTCTCATTTTTCCCACATTTCACTCTGCTGCTTTTAAAAGGCAAGAACATCGCTTCTTAAGGTTTTAGCTTAATAAATAATCTTGGTTCCTGAGATTTTTTTTTTAAATCACAGAAAAGTTATATAAAATTTATTAGAGAAAATATTTTGCATTTCATTTTCTAAAAGGCCTTTTTATGCTAGAAGTCATGTTCTGATGTTGAAGCCGTGCAGAGGTTTTTTTGAATTTTTTGGTCTAGAATTTTTTTCAGGCCCTTTTCAGTAATCCCAAGGTGAACGCCATCTGTGGAGCACCTCCTGTCGGTGTCAGAGGCAGGGGAGGAAGGCAGTCTGCAGACATCTCAGTGGCCCAAGCGTCAGCTGAGAAGGTTAGGAATGAGCTGTTGGCAGGAGCCTTCCGTGGCTCCCGAAACTGTGAGGTGGTCCTTCGTGTGGCTGTAAATTGGGTTTGTGCTTCATCGATAAGCTTTCTGACGAGAAGCGTCCATCACAGTGTCTCTTATTTGCCACAGCAGAATAGAAAATGAAGTATCCCAGTAATTGCATTCTAGTTTCCTTCTCGTGGACAAGAAAGCGATGTGCTATAATTAGATTTGATTGGAGTGCACGTTTCCGGTAAGATCTGAAATTAATGATGTTGCTATAGTGACACATCTGCGGCCACCAGTGCGTGAAACATAAAGTAATTCATTCGACAGGAGTAGACATCTGTTAACTGCCAGGATGCAGAGCGTATTGACACTGACCAGAAATACTAGGCGTTATGTGCTCAATGCGCAAACGATGCTGAACCCGGAGGACAGATCGTTTGCGCTGAACCTGCTGGGAGGACCTCCACCTCCTCCCTGGCTACCCCGACAATGCCATTGTTTGAGAACAATGCTGCCGAGGATTCATAAAGTTTAAAACTTGACTCAGGTGCAGCCTATTAAAGCAATACATTAATTCCTTTGTTAGTTTTTATCTTCGTGTAGAACAAAGCCCTTCCTGAAACACCCACTGAAACAACAGGTTTTCGGACGCATTTTAATTATAGCATCCATTACCCAACACACCACGTTGTTTAGACTGGAATCACGTGTGAGTTTCATAGGACGGCATCATCGTGTTGGGGAAGCGCTGTTTCCATGGTTTCCAAGGGCACCAGAGCACGTGTGTGCCAATCAGTGCACACACACGCAGTGGAGTGTGTGCTGAGGTCCTTCGACCGGAGGACCACTGCGGCCTCTCCTGCCTGGTGGCCACGACTGGGGCCTCACGTACGACGGGCGCGCGGTCTCACTGATGCAGCTGTTTGCTGATGCAGGTGCCGGGGTGGGAGGGAGTCTGACGTTTGGGGTGTTGGGCCAGTCGAGGTAGCACACACATACAGATGCCAGCCGTGCAGGGCTCGTGGT